CATACGTTCAAGTAGGAATACGTGGATGTAACGTTTGCACGTACCGATAGATGCCGTTACGAATATGCACGCGGTTGATATAAAGCAAAAGATATTAATGGAAAAGCTTGCATTAATAAGTGGTGAGTGAACTGGATAAGTATTTGTACGTAAATATGAGACAAAGTATCGTTATACCGATCAGAATGCGCTAACGGTATTCCTTTCGATAACGATAATGCCAATTTTACTAACATATTCACAGGAAAACACCTTATAGGATTCGAATTCGATTTCGTTTATCCCCTCTGAAGTTTTTCCATTGCAACTGGTTTAAAAACCCATTTTTCATCTACCTGTTACGTTATTACGGATTAGATGCTACCCAGACGTAAACGTTGTTCGTTCTTTCGCATAAAAACTCGAATCGTAAATAAAAGTTATTAGAAAAATGTATCGAAATTATGGAAAACACACGATGGGAAAAGAAGTAACGCGATAAAAGTTTTCGTAATATTCTATATGTCGTTACGATGTCGTTATACGCATGCGCATGGAAATAAAAGAAGAAAAAATATACAAACGTACGGTTTGAAAGAAGCAATTTGAAATAGTAGGAAAAATGGGTATCAATTCTGAAATACTAGAAAATGAATGGCTAAATGTTTTGCAGATTAGAGGTCGTTACAGATCGAATTAAAACTCGCAGCTGAACTCGATATGTCGGGGGTTTTTTTTTTTTTTTTTTTTTTTTTTTTTAAAAAAAAAATGGAAAGTGATTTAGTAAGATGAATCTTGAACAAGAGTCAAATTCTGTTGCTTATCATATTACAGGTATATAGAACGAAATTGGTCGTAGAAACATTGACACAGTTTTTAATTTCTTTTCTATGAAGCATGGTTTTCTTTAAAAATTCCCAAAATTTTTAAACATCTAGGAGTACCAAATCGTCGATAGGATAAACAACGGATAATTATTAATAGTGAATCTGAGAAAACTGTCGGTAATGTCCTACTTTATTCCTATAAAATTGGAAAATCGATATATTTACGAGGATTAGACACACAATCATTAATATACGCAGCGATAAAAACTTGAAGGTTTATAGAAATTTGCAGAAACTTCAGTAGATATATAAATACTGGTTAGAAAAGGAAGTGTACGTTTCGATTAATACTATATTATAACAAGAGATGAAAATCACTGTACGTTAGCGATCTCGACATTCGCAAGATGGCTAATCGTGTCAGCCTCGTAATCAGTCGATTCTTTCGTTAAGAGATTGTCGCAACCCCGGGAAAATATCTCGTGTGGATACAAAAAGGAGCTGCTTGGCGTAAGTCGAACTCTGTTGGCACGACTTCAAACGTCACGACACAATACAAGCTCGCAGACCATATCTGTACACGTCGCGTCGCGTGAGCTTCTTCCACAAGCACGGAACGAGCCTCGACTGTCATCATTGTCCCCGTAATATTTCCACCCACCACGTTGTCGATTTCTTGAAACATTTCCCGTCCACCAATATTCCCGCAATAATTGCAACATCGGTTTCTTGGATCGCCGTCTGCATTCCAACCTTAATGACCAATTAATCTTTCCTTCTTGCGTTTCGCATTCGACACCGCGTTATGTTTCCATTCCGACGAAAATAAAAGAGAACATGATTTTTCTGCTATTCACGAATTTACCGTCCAAATTATAATATATGTTATACGATAATATACGAAAAAGCACGATTATCGAAACACTGATTTTATCGATAGAACGATATTAAATTAGCTTAGCCATAGATTAGCTTCGAATGATCATCTTTCGTCCGAAAGACGTAATTTTATCGCGCTTCGAATATTATTATTTAATCGTTATCCGTGGCTCGATCGAAGTCTCTATCCTCACGAGATTTCGAGATGCCGTCTTGCGGGAAACGGGCTTCGTTAGATCTGGTTAGAAAATAGAGTATTTAAAATACAACAGTTACTAGAGCAGCAGTCTATTTATGTAACCCGATGTCAAAGTGAAAACTGACAAGCAGCACAACACTGTTCGCAAAATATGAGTTTTCCACAATTTTTCGAACCATTCTTCGAATGTATAATAATCGATATAGTAGATCGGTATAGCTATATCGATCTTTGTCTGTTTCATCAAAAATTGTATCGAAAATTAATAATTGAAAACAACTATTGCAATACTCTTGAACTTTTACTCTTCGCCAGATACGTTTCGGTAGTTTAAGTGAGTAAGTTAAGTAGCTAAGTAGTTTTACAGTCCTTTACACTTACACTCTCATCGTCGATTCTAACTCGTCTTTTGTATTCGGAAAGTTAGCAAATATTACAAAATGGCGATTACCATCTCCATGATATCATCTCCATGATATCATCTCCAATGATATATCGTTAAATTCAGCCAAACGTAGGTACCTACCATGGATAATGTTCGAATCCTCGCACTCGAAAACTCGGTGAAAAACTCAGCCGAAAATATGGGACATATTTGGAGCTAATTGCATTGTCTCGAATAATTACCGCAAAAGATTGGCGCGAGGAGTGAGCGTCATTCTACAACGGAAACAAATCACTTGAACGGAAATAATGAAACGAAAGGTAAAAATGAATTTAAAACGGAAATGGTAGAAAATATTCTTTTTATAATGCGAGGAATATCCGTAGAATTGCAATGATGAAATTCCATTTTTCTTTCTGTTAGAATGAAAAAAGTCCAAAAGTCCATCGTATAAATATATATTTATATTTCTGAAGTATACTTGTAAAATTTGAAATACAAAGTTGGATAGAAAATGAAGAAAATTGAACAGATGTTAACAAACCGTGTTCAATGCTTCTAACACGAGCAAAGAATTTTTCTCTGCCAAACGCAAACTCTGCCTAATTTACCTAAATCCCTTCTATCGAGCACAAGCTCGTCGATCCGTGGTGAAAATGTTTGCGAGAGTGATAAAGCGAGTGCACCGAAGCAATCAAAGACATGATCGATGGCTCATTCGTCTGAATCTTGCGGCTGATTGGTCAATTAAACAGGAAACACGTAGGAGAAGTACGCTGTTGCGGTAGGTAAGTGAAAGGGCGGGACGGGTGTAAAAGGGTGGTGGACTGACCGCAAGGGCAAAGCTTGGAAAAAGGATATTTTAATTATCGTTATTAGATTATGTTTTGCTTTCGCCATCGGATCAGTATTATCGATCTTGCGTTGTATCAATTACTCCCACGTGGAATCACGATCTAACGTAGAGCGAACCCTAGCATCTGATTAGACAGGTGGTGTGCCGTTTTCTCTTTATCAAACCTTCAACTGTGTTCAACTGTGTGACTCCTATTTATTCGCGTTTAGTGAATTTTTAGACAACGGAGAATACTTGAGTAACCGCCTCGTTAAAAGTATTCAAATTTCAAAGAAGACTTCAGTTTTATCGTTGTTGTAGCAAGTTTGATATTTAGAAGATATTCCCCGGTACAGTACCACCGCGATATACTGTACATTGAAAAATGAATACACACGCACATCCACACACACACACACACACACACACACACACACACACACACTTTGTTATCGCGTTAACTTGTTCGTTGTTTCTGGCAGTGTAATCCTTGTTCCGATTTTTCACATACGATACGGGTCGAAGTTAGGTGAAGATATCTTTCATTAAGAACACGACTATGTAGGTTTCTATCGATTAAAAATGCTGCCGATACCGATTTATCGATTACCTAAGAATTAATTAATTCAATCTGCGATATAGTAAGAAAAATACAACAGTACGTAAATGTTAACGTAAATATTATTAAACATTTATCTCTGACAAATATTTCTTACATAATGTAAATATAAGGTGGACTACGCGCGTAGTGACACGTGTACATATATGTACATATACGAGTTGTGGCTCGAAGCAAGCAAGTAGATATACATGCAATGTATATACGCAAGGATTCGAAAGATCGATCGCGTTAATAAGAATGTCGGTTACTTTCATAAAATCGGATAAAATACACTCTTTCTTCGTTCTTTACTGCATACATTGATCGTATATACGTATAGACGTACGATTGAAATAATCGCATGCATATTCGGGAAAAGAAGATGGAAAAAGGTCGATTCTACGAGTCTGGATAAACAGAAAAGTAAATGTACAGAAATGCAGGTTAAGGTTCATTTGTCAAGTTACGGCCATTTGGCCATTTCTTCAAGAAACGCGAAAGAAGCGTGTGCGACTGTAAGCATGCACTTGGAAATGATTGTCACTAAATAACCTAGTCTACATATTTTAGTACGATACATTCTCATCCCACTTATTTCACAGTTCGAAGAATCCACGTTCATTCGCTGTTTCATTTGCGGCTAATATTTCCTTGTCTTCATAAGCTTCTCGATAACCTCGATCACCTCGGTAATCCCGATCGACTAACGAAAGGAAAGAAACGTATTAGGATACGATGATGCGAAATGTTCATTTCGAAGGAAACGTATACGTGATATATGAACGTATGTGTGATATATAGAAATCGAATACAATGCTAATTGTAGAAAAATATTGGAATCTCGTTAGAAAATTTCGGACCAATCCGATATTGAAAGATAGGAGCGTAGAGAATTTTGTGGTCGATCGCATAGGTACATTAGAATCTCGTAGAAACTCTTACAGCCAACTGCGAACGAAATAACGGAAACGAAAGAAACAATAAAGGACAATGATTAGGAATGAAATGAAATTTGAATCACGTTTTACTACGATACCCCTTTCGGAATTCTCTAAGCTGATTCGAACGTACGAAGAAAGGAATGCAAAATATCGATATTCGGTAACTTCAATTTCTTCTGAAAAAGTTACATCGCGAAAAATGTAAGAATTTGCCCGGCGCGATGATTTTTGTAAATCCAAATCCCAAAGCCTTATACTTCTAGCCTTCTAACGCATAATTCTTGACCTATTTTATACTATACCAATAAGATCAAACTGAGTAAGAACGCATCACAAGTTGTGCCTCACCCGTAGAGTATGTTTCAGGCAAGGAGCAGGGAATGCCAGCGTTCGCGCGCGGTCCACAGGAAGGTGGTCCGCCAGAAATGAGCGACGAAAGATTGGCGCATATCCTCTCGGAATCAGGCCATCTACAGATGAGGGGCGAACACGAAGTGTCGAACGACGCGGACAGCAAAAGTCCGAACAGAATCGGTTGCCCGAGCCCCTTCAACAAAGACAGGCTTGACAATCAAAATAGGAGACTGAAGAAATACGAGAACGATGACATTCCGCAAGAAAAGGTAGTGAGGATTTATCAGGAGGAGCTCGCCAAGATAATGGGAAGGAGGGTGGAAGACCTCCGTGGACCGCGAGAATTTTCTTCCAGGTGAGGCTCTCGACCAAATGACGCTTCAAGTCGTTCTAAAAATCGTTTGTGGCTGCCTACCTGAAATTATTCAATATCTACCTGAATAATTCAATCAGAGATGGCATAGAGTCGATTAATTCTTTGATTCGTAACACCAGGTCATACTCGTGACAAAACTTGGCCAATGATATATATTATCGCGTATAAATAAATTGCGTTATTTATATTTCGGATGAAATTATTTCTATCTCGCTTTAGCTTTAATCGGATTAATTCCCTTTTTAACTTGGTAACAGCTTCGTATATCTATTGTCATCCGATATATCGTGTGATATATGGTTAGAAGAAATAGCAACCGTCAGAAATAACGGTGATCTCAATCATTGTGTTATCATTCCTTCAACTATACGGAATACTTTCTACGAATTAAAATTCGAATAGCGAATTTATAAATGCACTTTTTTCTCTAATCTTTGTCGGTATCATAGGAGAAACTTGAAATACAGAGTACCATAAAAAATTCGTCGTGCTTACCTCTACGATTCTATCCCCCATATTTTATCACGATGAAAAATAATATTAGAAAAGTACACGTGTTCGCTCGAAAGGTAAACATCGTTTACTTATTCCTACCGTGTACGGTATCGCGAGTAAACTTATCGTAATCTTTTCTTCGCGTTCCGTAAGGAAGATGCGAAAGATATTTGGACTCGTCATTTATCGGACCACGTTTGCGACTTTCCCAATTTATTTTTACTCGTAGAACGCGTAGCACGCATAACACGCATCGCGGGATTTCATCATTGAATTTAAGGAAATAACTTTGGTTCCTGTTCAAATGCTGGCATTGGAGGTATATTTTACATATTTCAAAGATCCTTCCGAAAGATATATCGATCGAGAAAGATTAGAGAACGAAATAATAATTGGCAGATGTTTATGCGAAGAGTATGACTGGTAGTTACGAACGCGTTAAAACGGCATCGGTTTCCGTTCCGTAATCGGAAATTGCAAATGTATCGCGATACGATAAGAAATCGAAAAGGATAAGGTGGACGTAAGAGAAGGATTAAAGATGGTCGATAGACCTAACCGAAAGCCAGGTAGCGCATCCCATAGATCTCGTGAGTCACCGCGGATCGCGAATGCGCAACAGAGAACTATGCCGAACCGATGACGTATGTGGCTAAAATTAATATGCCGCTATATCTGTTTCGTTACTTAACACGAAAATGTTAGGTGTAAACACGAGCCTTTTCGAACGCGAAAGCAACGCGAAAGCAACGCGAAAGCAACGCGAAAGCAACGCGAAAGCAACGCGAAAGCAACGCGAAAGCTCGGATTACGAGAGGATATTTATCACGAGGAAAGTTGCAGGATTGATCATTATCGAGGACAGCACGCGACCTCGATTAATCGTAGCGCGATGTTCCCGCACTTTTTCAGCAGCGCGCAAGGTGGTCTTCAAGGTATAGAGCGGACGCAGGAAGACATCCGGCTGGCACTGGACGCGTACCATCGTGAACTGCAGAAACTGAACGTGACACCGGGTCAGAATCCTTCGTTGACTGGACTGCCAGGATTGCCCGGACTGCCTGGCCTGCTCGCTCTTCAGCAACAAGCGCTTCAGCAACATCACCTAGCGACGAATGGCGGAGGTGTTCAAGATTTGAGCCTGGGCAAAGTGGATCCGAGGAACAAAATGATAAATGGCGTTTCCGAAGAGGATAAAGAGAAAATGGAGGAAGCAATGCGACACGCGGGAAGCGCTTTTTCATTGGTCAGGCCAAAACAAGAACCAACCACCGCACCCCAGACGACGCCAGGTGGATCCAGCGCGAGTTCGCCGCTTGGAAACTCGATTCTTCCACCAGCAATGACACCTAGCGAGGAATTCTCGGGTGCAGCCGCGGCCAGTCCCCTTCAGAGGATGGCCTCTATCACGAATAGTCTGATCAGTCAACCGTCCACGCCTACCCATCACGCGGCCAACCAGAGGCCGCTGAAAGCAGTACTTCCTCCCATCACTCAGCAACAGTTCGACATGTATAATAACTTGAACACAGAGGACATTGTTAAGAGAGTAAGTTGAATCGTTGTTGAATCGTTTACTCCGAGCAATTTATCCAAGTATGCCGTTCGAAGGTTAGGGATCGAGCTTAAACGAAATAATTCGATCGTTCTCTTGTCTCGCGCGACCAATCACAAATCAACTACGATAATATCTTTTTACGTATTTCTACCCGTATATGTAGTGGATGAACGTACTACAGTGGGAATAACGTGGTTCTTCCAAAAATTTCCGCCTACTTATCTCTACCGTTTCTTCCTTTATTCACCAACTCTATCCGTTCCATTCTACGCGATCCCTCGGCCAAACCATTTCGCCTAGTAGTTTGAAACAACTTTTAAACATTGCCTCGATATTTTCCTCCCTTTTGTTACGAGTATTCAGAGAGAGAGGGTGAGAGTGGTGGGTACTTCGGATGGAGCGCGGGGGGGGAGGGGGAGGGGGGAGAGGAAAGAGAAACGACGGTCTCGATGATGAATAGACACGTAGAATCGAACGTATTTGAACGAGTAATGTCTCGCGTATTGATGTATTCTTAACTTTTGAACGGTAACGCGTATATATACCTATTAGATGTAACTAGATAAATTCTCGTGATTGAATTTCTATCTAACAAACCTAACAAACCTAACAAACCTAACAAACCCTGCTTCCTAAAAAATAACAGAGTGACGCGTAATAGTCCGAAAATATATAAATTTGCTTATCGAATGTTCTAAAAAATACGATACTTTTAGGATTTAAAAGGTTTATTAGAAAACCTTACACGATTTACAATGTTTCTGGCAAATTAATTCGTAGATTTGCGTACAATACCATTTACAACGACACGAAAATAGTTTCTTCGCGTTTATGCAATGTAATATAATATATAAATTATCATACGATGATTATCACGTATCATTATACGGTACTCGTAAAGGAAGTAGTTCACAGTACCGTTCTTTAAAACAGTCGAATATATCGATGGTTCGAGACTTTTGTTTTTCATTCGTCTTTACTATAGTCAGTACTATAGAATCGTATACCTATGTATACCTATGTAATACTATATAATATTATGCATAGCACTAAACAGTGCTATATACACACATAGGTATACGAGGAGAAGCAACGTTTAGTAGGGTCCAGACGTGCTCGTCAGCATGTCGACAAAGGAAATAAATACCGGCAATAAATAATTTCAAATAGAAATCAGAAATAGAAATGAAAGGGTAATGGGTACGAACAAAGTCTGTTTAATGTCTATCTTTAATGTTTGTTTGTCTAGCAAGTAGAAAATGTAATTAAAGTTATTCTATATATAATTGAAATCGAATGGTAAATCGAATGGTAGAATGTTGACCGGTTACCGATCAACATACGTTATACGCGATGAATCGGATAAGTAAACGATGGTAAGTGGAAAAAATTTGTCTTTGCAGGTGAAGGAACAGTTATCCCAGTATTCCATTTCCCAACGTTTATTCGGCGAATCCGTGTTGGGTTTATCTCAGGGCTCCGTTTCCGACCTGTTGGCGCGTCCGAAGCCATGGCACATGCTCACGCAAAAAGGTCGCGAGCCCTTCATCAGGATGAAAATGTTCCTCGAGGATGACAACGCGGTACACAAATTGGTGGCCAGCCAATATAAGATCGCGCCGGAAAAGCTGATGAGGACCGGCGGCTACGGTGGCCTGCCTCGTAAGTTTAACTCAGGTCAATATAGATGTTTTGTTATTTTACTAAAACGAAGATAGTTTGGGAGCTCGATACGGCGTGCCGAATGCTGCTGGCTAATAAAAATACCGGAACACGTATGGACGTTGAACGAGCCGAGAGAACGATAGCAAACGAATGAAAGATACTTATCGCGTTAATAATAGAGGATTAAGTTTAACGAAGCAACATTCTGACGTATACTGCGTCAAAGTGAGCTTTCCGACTATAATTCGTAGGTTTCGTGGACGGTAACGCGATTCAACGTTCCTCTTTCTTTTTCTTTTTCGCAGCGTGTGGAACACCGATGAAGCCTATGCCTCCGACGAAACTGGTTCAAGAACAACTTCAGAACGCGGCGAAAGCACAAGCTGCGGCGCAAGCAGCCGCTCAGGCAGCAGCGCAGCATCAGCAAGAGAGTCAAATGCAGCAGCTTGGTCCACCGCAGCAGAGTCCTCAGCATCCGCAGCATCCGCAACCACCGCCGCCGATGATGCTAACGCCACCTGGACCACATCATCCGCATTCGCAAATCAGTATGCAAGAATTACAGAAGAAACAGCAACAGCAACAACAACAGCAGATGAACCTTCATTCGCCGCATCATCAGATGACTCCATCGCCGCTTCGTGGCCTCCATCCGCACATCTCGCCGAGTGTTTACGAAATGGCTGCGTTGACGCAGGATCTCGATACGCAAACCATCACGACCAAGATCAAAGAAGCGTTACTAGCCAACAACATTGGTCAGAAAATATTCGGCGAGGCTGTTCTCGGATTGTCGCAAGGCTCCGTGAGCGAATTGCTGAGCAAACCGAAACCGTGGCATATGCTGAGTATAAAGGGCCGAGAACCGTTCATTAGAATGCAATTATGGTTGTCTGACGCGCACAACGTGGACCGGTTGCAAGCGTTAAAAAACGAGCGTCGAGAGGCGAATAAGAGACGGCGTAGCAGTGGTCCAGGCCACGATAACAGCTCGGACACGTCGAGTAACGACACGTCGGAATTCTATCACGCGGCATCGCCGGGTCCGGGACCAGCCTCGGCTAAGAAGCAACGGGTCCTCTTTTCCGAGGAGCAGAAGGAAGCCCTCAGGCTGGCATTCGCCCTCGATCCGTACCCTAATGTCGCCACCATCGAATTTCTCGCTGGCGAACTGGCGCTCTCCTCGCGAACCATCACTAATTGGTTTCACAATCATCGGATGAGACTGAAGCAGCAAACGCCTCACGGCCAACCGGAACCTCAGTCCCCAAGAGAGCCCGGCCAACCGTTTGACCCGGTTCAATTCAGGTTGCTGTTAAACCAAAGACTGTTGGAGATTCAAAAGGAGAGGCTGGGCCTGGGTAACGTGCCCCTACCTTACACTCCATACTTCAATCCTAACTTGGCTGCCTTAGTAGGAAACGCGTTGAAGGAGCAGTGCTCGGGCCTGGATCTGTCGATGAACGCTCTGAAGAGAGAGCCGAACCAAGAGTTCGAGGACGAAGACGTGGAGGACGCGATGAGCAATCTGGGTAGCGAAGACTCGGAGGGATCGGCGGGTAGCATAAAGCGGGAACCCGCGGAAACGCCGACAGCGCCGGCAGCGGTTAGATCGAACAGAAGGAAACCCGCGGCACCGCAGTGGGTAAATCCGGAGTGGCAAGAACCGGCGAGAGCGGGCGATGAGGTGATCATCAACGGTGTTTGCGTGATGCAAACGGACGATTACGGGGTTAAAAGAGAAGCGGAGGAAACTATTAGGGTAGAACCGACACCGGTACACGACAGATACGAGGAAGACGCGCAAAGCGACGTGTCTTCGGTCTCTGGAAACAATGGCCAGGACCGGGACAGTCCACTGCCCAGTCCAAAGTCTGGACAAAACAGTCCGGTGACGTCGCCGAGGCCACCATCCACGCAACAGACACAGCAGTCCACCGAAGAAAGCCCTAAGGAAAGCGTGGTGAAACACGAACCCGAAGAAACGTGGGGTTACTAAGGGGCGAGGGGCCGGGGGGCAGGCGGACAGGCAGGAGCAGCTGGCGAAGAACGGGCGAACGAAGAGGAGAAAGAAAAGGAGGGGGATTACTGTCTCGTCCTCGTATCGTACCACTGTATTTTCACAAAATTAGAGAAAATACCAAGATGAGAACGTCGTTGAAACATGCCAAAATGATGCTGCAATCGCATACAGTCCCCAGCTATCGAGGACTACGGCCTAGTTAAGTTCTTAGAGAGGAAAAACCAGTCATAGGATTCGACCAGGCCTGATTGGTCGATTCCTGCCTACCACGAGGGCATTATCATAGGGAGGCAAATACAAAGTAGGATACGCGAAACAAAATGATAACGAAAAAATAAAGAAAAAAAGATAAATAAATAAATAAATAAGGACACACACCAGTGTACTCGCAACGTCATTCGAACGATAGTTCGAAGACTGTCAACAGCCAGACGCTGTTTCTCAAAGAAGACGGAGCTCAATCAAAAGGAACTCTTTTTCGTAACACGTTCTATCTGTGCGAAACGAGATTAAAATCTCGTTATACACAGTTGATATGTTCGGTGAATTCGTAATTGTCAGAAGACTTTGTCGCGACAGAGCAACCTAGGAAACCGGGGAGGGGGTGGGACTGGGACTGGGGCTGGCTAGGGGTGGGAACGTATGCATGTACGTATGCATGTACGTACGTATGTATGTATGTATGTATGCATGTATGTATGTATGTATGTATGTATGTATATATGTACGTACGTATGTATGTATGTATGTATGTATGAATGTATGTATGTATGTATGTATGTATGTATGCATGTATGTATGTATGTATGTATGTATGTATGTATGTATGTATGTATGTATGTATGTACACATATGCATATTTGCATATATATGTATATGTACACATATATGTATATATATCGAGGCGTTCGTCGCACATTCGCTCGAAATCCGAAGAAACCCTGGCCTCTTCTGTTTTTCGTCGGTGGATCTTGGCGGTGAAGATTATCGGACAAGGCAGAGACAGAGAAGAAACCAAGTTGGAAGAAAGGGAAACGATGATCGATCGGCGAATGGAAATGGTCCGGGTTCATAGAGTGCAATCTACGAGTAATCAGAGTTGTTAGATCAAATTATTATTAATTTTATCTAATTGCGCGACGAAGATGAGCGATTAATAATTATTGCATAATTGTGATTCATGTTATATTGTTTATACACTTCTCCTATCCCATAGTCGTTAAGCTGTTGATGTTATTACACTCCGCTCTCCGACTACGTACCTTTTTTTGTCTGTTCGGTTATAGGCGCGTCGTCTTTCGTAAAGAAGGAGAAAGGAAAAGCAACAGTTAGCAAAGGAATATTCGTGTCCTCTCGCTCTTCTTCCTGCTTCTTGCTTGTCTATCGACTTATAGAAGAGCAAACGCTAATCATCTAGGATCAGTTAGCACTGTTACCTATTTTCCTTTTCTTTTGTTTCTTCCGCATAATTCGGTCTACAATTTTACGATTTTCGTTTGCTCTTCATATACGGACAAACGATGCAGGTCCTTGCACAAAAATCTGTCCACTTACGAATAATACTTTATGCCCCTTTTTTCTATTTCCACATAGAGAATTTGGAAGAGAGAGAGAGAGAGAGAGAGAGAGAGAGGGGGGGGAGAGGGAGAGAGCGAGA